TGACTCATGGAGCATTGTTTTCCATCCTTTGACTTTGAATTTCTTTTGCCTCTGAATTTCTTTTTGAATGAAGTATGTTTCTTGTATGCAATATGTTGTTAGATCTTGCTTTTTGATCCATTCTATCAGTCTGTCTTTTGACTGGTGAACTGAGACCATTAACATTGATGGTTATAACTGATATGCATTGAGTTACCTTTTCATGTTATTTTCCTATTGTTGGCTCCCCGTTTTTCCTCCTTCCTCTGTTTACTTGCTGGCCTTTCCTGGTGGGTTCTTTCTTTTGGGGTTCATGGAGTTATAGTCCTTGTTATCTCTTTCTAGAATGCCCTTGAAAACATTTTGAAGTGCTGGTTTGGTGGTCATACATTTCCATGGATGTTCTTGATCATGATAATATCTTGTATCTCCATATGTTTTGAAAAATAGTTTTGTGAAGTACATCAGTCTGAGTTGAAGGTTTGTTTTCCTTTAAAACTTGAAATATTTCACTCCCAGCTCTCCTTGACTTCAGGGTTTGTGCTGAGAATTCAGCTGTGATTCTGTTGGATTTTCCTTTATAGGTGATTTGTTTCTTTTCCCTAATAGCTTTTGGGATTTTTTTCTTGTGTTGAATTTCTGGAATCTTGACTATGATATGCCTGGGTGTAGATTTTTTTTTTGATTGTGGCTACTTGGAGTTACCGGTATATGCCTCACTTATCTGTATTTTTTTTGTCTTTTTCCTTTTTATTGGTACCGGGGATCGAACTCACAACTGCCTGCTTGCAAGGCAGGCGCTTATGCCGCTGAACTAAATCCCCAGCCCCACTTATCTGTATGTTAAATTCATTTTCTCTACCAGGAAAGTTTTCTGCCATGACATCTGTGAACAATTTTTTTATATTGTTTGTCTATCTCCTGCTTGTTCATTGACTCCAATTAGTCTTAAATTATTTTTCTTTGCCCCATCTAGCAACTGCTGGATTAATTTCTCATGGTCCTTTGCTATTTTTAAGAAATCTTTCTTTTTATGATCCCTAACTGCAAGCCTCTCTTTTATATCTGAGATCCTATACTCACATTGGCCTCATCTGCTGTGAATACTTTCAATGGAATCTTTATTGTCCTTGATATCTGCTTGCATCTGTCTTATGGATTCCATTTCTTTCCCATGCTGAGCATTCATGGCTTCCATAATTTTCTTGAGTTCATCTATTTTTTTTGTCTGTATCTACTCTAGAGTCACTAAGCATGATCTTCATTGTAGATACTATCTTTGTAGTTATTTGAGAAATTATTTCTGATTTTATTTTTTCCAAAGACTCATTCAATTGCTTTGTTGTTACCACTTTTGAAAGGCCAGATGGGAGGTTTTTGGATTGTTCCACTTCAATCCCCCGTAGTTTTGTTTGCCTTTTGTGAACTGGATGTCAGGGGTTACATCTCATTGTCCTTTGCTTTTCTTTTTTTCAGTTTAATTCCTGGAGTGATGCTTGTAAATTGCATATGGTGGGCTGCTTAGCATTTAGAACCCTTAGGTAATGACTACTTCTCCAATGTATCTTCCAGGTGTAGGTGGTGTTTTTGGTTTTGAGTTTGTTGGAAGATCCTACCTCTTCAATTTGTTGGAAATGTGAAGTTGCTGTTTGTTTGGCCCAGTCCTCAGGTCTTTGGCACTGTGCTACAGTATTTTCTGTGATCCTTAGTCAATCGTAGTCATGAAGTACCAGGAAGAACAGCTGTTTAGAACAACTATGTCACTCTTGGCCATCGTGACATTAGCATCAAGCACAGCCTAAAAAATGGCAAACTGAGCAAACTTTAATTTGCTACTTTTAATTGCATGAACTAGACATGTGGTTATATAACAAAATCTAAAATAAACAAGAAAATTATATGCAATACTCAAATCCTTAATATGTCAATTTTGCTCTTAGGGGTTAAAATTTAAAATGGGTTAAGGAGAAAATATAGAAGTGGAAGAAAAGGTAGGGATGAAAAGTAAGGTAGGAGGAACAAAGAGGGATCACATTAACTCTGGGAGACTGGTGCAGAAGACTGGAGAGAGAGAAGGAAATAAAAAGAACTGAACAAAATCACCACCACAGAAAGACAAGAAACCGTGTTTAAACTCTTATAAAAAACAGGATGAAACAATGAGAAGCTCTGCAGGGTGGTACAAATCTGTGATCCTAGTATTCAAAAGGTTGAGGCAGAAGGATTGCTCTGAGTTTGAGGTCAGTGTGGGCTACAAAGTGAGATCAAGACAAACCTGAACTGCATAGTGAAACCTTGTCACAAAAAGAAAAAAAAATCAAACAATGAAGCAGAAAAAAAAGCAAAAAACAAAAATAAAATCACTACTGCAACAAAAAACAAAAAGAAAGAATAAAAAAAAGGAAAGAAAAAAATCCACTTCCAGATTTGTCTCTGTTGTCACTGGTAGACAACAATGTGGAGACAGAGTCCTGATCCTTGCCAGCAGTAGCTTTTTGGTGGAGTAGTGGATAATTTTGGCGAACCTGCACTTTCAGGTTGAAACCATTTGGCCTGCAGTTGCTTGCACAGCTTCTATGGGCTTGAGCCCAGCTGTGAGCCACTCCATAGAGCCTGCAGTTGCTCTGAGCTGTGAACTCAGTCAGCCCCTCTCCTGCATGGCTCTCAGCCATTGCTTTCTCTTACGGGAGGACTGAGCTATCGGCATTCATTGCCGGCCAATGCAGCCTTTCACATCTGCGGCTCCCCTGCACTGTCACATCTCTCTGTGGAGGCCTCCAGGGTTACCAGCTGTCACTGTCACCATCACAGTGTGTCTGCAAGTTTGAACTGCTCCTCTCACGCAGTGATTCTGTCTCAGGGAGAAGGAGCTGCTGGCTGTCTCCTTCTTTGTTGGAGTGTCTCTCTTTGCTTTCTCCATGGGCAGCTTCAATTTGTACTTCATATCCTTCCTGGGTCCAGGGGACCTACTTTCCACCCCTTGACTTCCTCATATTGCTACATTCCAGTGTCTGGATGGCAACTTTCAGAGAGGCATTTTCTCTGCTGCTTACCAATCTGCCATTTGGTGCTCCCCTTTCCCAAAACATTTTTTTTTGTCTTTTTCCTTTTAATCGGTACTGGGGATCGAACTCACGACTGCCTGCTCTCAAGGCAGGTGCTTATGCCGCTGAGCTAAATCCCCAGCCCCTCCCAAAACATTTTTACGAAATGGTATTTTTTGAGATGAGGAGCAAAAAAAGATACCTTTTTTGTTTTTGTATCAGGGTCTCAATCTGTGATTTAGGTGGGCTTCAAACTCACAGCAATCCTCCTGGACCCGGGAGGCTGAGGCAGAAGGATCATCATGTGTTCAGGGCCACATAGTGAGTTCAAAGCCAGCCTGAACTGCATAGAGAGAGCCAGTCTCAAACAACAACCACCACGATAAAAAAACAAAAGAAAACAAAACAACAACATCCCAAAAATGATACTTTAAAAGAGGACTTCAATCTCAAGATTTTCAGAAAATGGTTATTATAATCCAAAAAGTAAAATGGTCTCTCATTAGAGACACAACCAAAGCAATAGGCCAAGGATCTTAGATTACTGTTACAAATATCCAAGTATGGTACTTTTCAACCCAAAGGAAATTTGACTTCCTACATAAATTTATTTTTTCCTAATTGTAGATGATTTGAAATAAGCAGGAGGAAAAGTCGCTGTTTTACAATATAAAGCCAACCATTTTACCATTTGTATACATGTGTTCCTTGAAGTTTTATTTTCATATTTTTAGCTAACTCACAATCATACTGTTATATACAAATTTGAATCTTGATTTTTAGCCTAATATTTAAACATAGTTTCTTACATTATAATTTTATAGTTGCATCTTATATGAAATAATTTTATAGTTATATCTTATGTCCTTTTAAACTTTAAATACTGTCCATTTTAAGTTTAGGTTTGTATCATTTTAATTATACTGCTATGAATATTTCTGTGTACAAACTTTCTCTGTGTGTGTGTGGGTATCACTTCCTAATGACAGATTCCTTGAGAAAGAATTATAGATCCAAAGTGTTACTTAACAATTCTAAATTTTTGATACACTCTGAAATATTTGTTTATATTTGTATCTTTTGGTACAATAATTTTCATCAAAAATTGGGACATTAATTTTTAAAATGGGACAAATATACTAATGGAAACCTGGGAAGAATATTTAGCATTGAAACTATTCAAAGAAATCTATTTCTTCTGATTTCTATATTCACAGATAATATAATATGGTAGCATTTGGAGGAAAATATTTGAAAGAATAAGGTGATAGTGAGTTCATCAATTCAAGTAAAGAGCTCTGTATATGTAAATGTCCCATATCAGACACCTCATTTAAAGAACCATCAATAACATGGCCTGATAAAATGGTCTTACAATTTTTTGTAAACTAATGTGATTACTGTCACCTCTTTTTTATTTTTTCTCTATTATTATTATTATTGTTATTTTTGTGGTAGTAGAAACCAAACTCAGTGCCTTTACACTGAGCCACATTCCCAGACCCTTCTTATTTTTTATTTTGTGACAGTGTCTCTCTAAGTTGTTAAATTGTTCTTACCGGATTCAAACTTGCAGTCTTCATGCTTCAGCCTCCCAGAGTCCTGCGATAATAGGTGTGTGCAGCCATACTTAGCTCAAATCCATTTTTAAATAAAAATTCTCTGAATTATAAATGGATGAGGGAAAACTTTATAGCCTATAGCTCCACATCAGTATTTCCCCTCATGCCTTTGTGCCATTTTGCTTGGTTCAAGAGTTTGGAGAGATTCTGCTGTCAGAGTGTGATCTTCTAAACAGACAGATGAATCAGGATCTGGGTCACATAGGACTTCAATAAGTACTTATTTATAAGAGTGCTGAATGTTTCAATTAGTCCATTAGCAAAGGCCCTTGAGCAATAGTGTTCCTTAACAAGTAAGTATTAGTGAAAAACAGCCACCCACGGCCATGCTTACTAATTGATATTTCTGAAACAGATGTCTAAGAATAAACAGGATGAAGAGAGTGGGACGAGCGCAGGAGAAAGCAAAGGTGAGAGCCGGGTCACGCTGTGTGGGGCTTTGACCCGGGAAAGATGGCTGAGCGTGGACAGCAAGCAGCTGGAGGGGAAACAGGCAGTGCCACAGGTCTCTGCCCAGCAGGCAAGGCCCAGCCTGAGCCCTTGTATCTCTCTTGCCTAGCGCAGAAGGGAGCTGCTTCAGCAGAGCCCAGAAACTGTGTGTTACCGCTAGGTAGAGCCCAGGCTCACCTGCCTCTCTCCCACATTCTCCCGCCGCATGTTTTCATCATTGAAGCTATTATAGAAACTGAACTGCATTGGAGCAGGGTGTGGTGGCTCAAGCCTGTAATCCCAGCACTCAGGAGGCTGAGGCAGGAGGATTGTTGCGAGTTCGAGACCAGCCTGGGCTACAAAGTGAGGTCAAGGCCAGCCTGAACTGCATAGCAAGACCCTGTCTTAAAAAGACAAAAAAAAAAAAAAAAAAAAAAAATGAACTGCATAATATCTTTTTTGTTTTGACATGTGGTTTTTTAATTTTTACTTTTATTAGTATATTCTTACAGTTCATAATGATTGCATTCCTTTTGGGGAGTTGGTACGATCTTAATATTTTATGCTCACCCCTGTGTCTCTTTGTTCCCTTCCCATTTGCAAAAGATCCGTTTTCATATTACCTGTCTTTTATTTCCCTCTTTAATTTTTATACGCCAAGTTTCTCATAAAAGGGAAACCATGAGATATTTAATTGTGTATTTGATTTATTTCATTTAACATTGTAGTCTCAAGTTATAGTCATTTTTCTACAAATGACTCAAATTTATCCATCTTCACAGCAGAGTAGTACCCCATCATATGCGTATACCACATTTTCTTTATTCTTTCATCTGTTAATAGACCTGTGGGCCATGTCTTTGATTTAGCTATTAATGAGTTATGCTGCTGTAAACATGGACATACATGTATGACTTGACATCTTTTTAAATAACTTAAAGGAGCAGTGTGCTGGTGAACATTTAACAAATGACTTTTCAAATTATTTGTGTATATACATGTATTTCTTTTAAAAAATTACTGATGTATGAACTGAGTGTAGTGGCACTTTCCTTTAAACTTAGCATGCAGGAGGATGAGGCTAAAAGATTGCCACAAATTTGAGGTAAGTCTGGGCTGTGAGTGCAAGTCCAGCCTAAACTTCATCACAAGACTACTGCACAATTGCAAGGCAGGTGCTTATGCTACCGAGCTAAATCCCCAGCCCCTATTACTTATAAACTCTATACATCCTTTGTATCAGAGTAAAACAAAAAAAATTTTTTTTGAGACAGGGTCTTACGATGAAGTTCAGGTTTGTTTTTTTGAGACAGGTTCTCACTATGTAGTTCAGGCTGGCCTGAACTCACTGTGTAGCCCAGGTTGGCCTCAAACTCTTAACGATACTCCTTCTTCAGCCTCCTTATAGGCATACGCCATCATGCATGGCTAAATTTTAGTTTTGACTGTTTTAAACATCTCATGGAATTTCTGAAAATTGATCAGCTTTTATGAACTTGTCCAAGCCAACTGCAGTACATCATTGCTTAAAGAAAAAAAAAAAATCCTTCTTGGTTTTTGCTGTGCAAATCATATTCATAGATGCACTTGAATCTTGGAGATCTCAAGACAAAGATAAAAAAGTCTTATCTTTGGAAAAGTTTGGAAGTATTTCTCTGATTTTATATTTGTGTCAAAAATTTCAGAATTTAAATTGGGTATGGTGACACACACCTATAATCCTAGCACTCAGAAGGCTCAGATAAGAAGATCACTATAAGTTTGAAGCCATCCTGAGCTACACAGAGAGACCCTGTCTTAACAGAATACACACACATGCACACACACAGACGCATAACCAACGGACCAAACAACCAAACAAACAAATGGTATGTCAAGCATGTATCTGATCTCTCTGACCTTCTGATCCTTCTGGCCTTTAGGAGACTGGGGTCTGATACCAGAAAAGTAGTCAGTGGCTGGTGTCTGCAAATGACTGGAGAAGAGTAGGGACTTGACAGCTAATCAGTAAACGTGAGCCCACTCATGTTATAGCCTTCATATGTGGTGTGTAGTTCTAGCATCAATAGTGACCCTAACTTGTTGATTTGCTTTGTTGGTTAGCAATCAAAGAAAATTCCTATGAACAGCAAAGCAAAGGTGGTTGCTGGGACTCTTCACAAATGATGAAGAAACCAAAGCAGAATCAACTTTTCCCCATCACTGATTCAGAAGTCGCTTTGGTCAGTGCCTATCTTGAGCAAAGACGAGTCTCGCGCCACTTTGAAGTCGACAAGGTGAATCCGGTTCCACAAGATAGTGAAACCACGGAGTGTGACAGTGAAGAATCTAACTCAGGAGCCTCTTCATGGAAGGAGAGTGAAAGTGAACACCACCCCTCATTAGGCAACATTCAGAGGAGAAAAGCTGCTCAGAGGCACCAGAATCCGGGAAGTCCCCAAATTCGAGAAAAGCCCTGCCTCCACTGCAAAGCCATTAGAACCAATGAATGGTTAACACGTCATTTCCTACAAAGGGCTTCAGAAATTGTGCCCACAAAGAAAAATACTCAAGAGGAAATTTCCACACCTGAGATCAACACAAAGTTCAGTAAAATTTGAATTTTGTCAAGCCTTTGCCTTACCTGAAGCCAAATGGAAGAGCTGAATAAAATGTGAAAAAATCACCAGAGCCCTTGGTGAGGAGACTTTTACAATAAAATTTCTCTACTAACAACAAAACCATACTTGGAACCCAAGAGGTAAAATTTCAGACAATTCTTTGTTCCAAAAGAGGCTAGCAAATATGTGCATGGCACCAACGGAAAACTGGAAGCTCTTATCCATTATGATTTTCTTTTAATTCAAAAGAATACAAGACAGCTATTTCAGTCTTTGAGTGTATGTATTTTGTTTATGTCTGTAATACAGTGAGAAAGGTGCTTGAAAACACCTTTATGTTAAGAGATCATTTACATTTATCTGTACAATTTGCTTATTTGACTGACTGAATGAACTCGATTTATAATTTCAGGTGATTCTGCAAGAGCTCTGTTGCTATGTGTGTCCACTTGGGGCTATTGAGGAGGGATTTGAGCAGCATGATCCAGTAGGGCAGCTGGACCATAGACTTTCCACAGTTCTGTCTAGGGCATGGAAAATGCTAAAGAATAAGATTTTTAAATATTTGTTAAAACGGTAAAGAAGCCTTTATTCAAGACTATGGTACTACAGATTAATAGGGGAGATAAATTGAGTTCAACTCCTAATATAACAAAAACAAGTAGAGATTCATAGCCAAAGAGGTGGATGAAAAGGGGAGTGTCAGTGGATGGAAAGTTACTAAAGGAGACCTCAGTATTGAAATAAATTCTTGTAAAACTGACTAACAGGATTCATGCTAAAGGTGGGTCAAAGACTTTGGTATCAAAAGTGGGAGATGAGAAAGTAGATCAGAAATCAAGGGTGTTCAAATCAAAGTTTGGGGGACTTTTGGATTCAAAGTTAGTACTTAGAAGCATTCTTGCTAACACTGGGCTGAGCAGGCCAAAGACAAAAAGTCAAGGCCTAGAAGATGGCTCAGAGGATTCTGATTAAAATTTGGTCAAACTGGGCCTGGTGGCACATGCCTATAATCCCAGTGCTCAAGAGGCTGTGGCTGGATGGTGGCTAAAAATTGTAGGCCGGCCTGGACTACTAGTCAATTCAAGGATAGCCTAGACTACACAGTGAGACTCTGGGTCAAAAAACAAAAGTAAACATAATAAAATAAAATTTGGCCAAAGAACCTTGGTACAAGTTGACTGACATTCAGACGTGGTGAAGGCTAGGTTTTTCAGTTATGTGGGACCCTTGCTGTGAGGAATTCAAATGAGTCTAGCTAAATGGGTGGCCATTCTCCACGTGGATGGCAGGACTCCTAGCTGGAAGAGAAAGTAAAGCCCAGGTCTCAGAGGAAAGGGCTGGTAAGAGTAAAATACTGTGGTGAGGCAGGGACCATGGCCATGGGGCTCGAGTTCAAAGAATGGCTTGAATCTTTTTTTGGGAGGGGTACCAGGAATCAAACTCAGGACCTTGAGCTTGCCAGGCAGGTACTTGTGCCACTGAGCTGTATCTCTGGCCTACAGAATGGCTTGTCTTGAGGAAGGATTTGGGATATCATATATGGTCAAGAATACTGTCTAATTCTGTGAACTGAGTCTTTGAAGAGGCTCATGAAAGGGATAGACATACTGACCAGAGCTGTGTGTTGGCACAGAAGTCATTTCTGACAGGAGCAGATTTCTTAACTTATGATGATGATGATAATGAGAACTTGACAGCATGTGAGGACCCAAATCATGCATAGACTACTAGAATCTAGGGTGTGAGGTGATATTTCTGAGCTCATTTGTAGAGACTTTGTGTTATATAGCTATCGTGGGTTTGGGATGGATCTGAAGGCACAGGAAGGAGGCTGACCAAGAGTCAGCTCAAGCACCGGCCTTCTTCACAGTGACTTTCCCTACTCCCCGTCACTCTCCTCCCTTGTTCCCCCAGGTAGAGCTCACTATGACCTCACTTACGTGTCAGTGTGCTTTGGAAATTTTTTCAGTGCCCTTAATATTTTGATGAATGTATTTGTTTGCATGTTTCCGTGATATCTATCTACCTATCTATCTATCTATCTATCTATCTATCTTATCTATCTATCCATCCATCCAATCTAGCCATCCATCCTTAGACATAGAATCCAAGGTTTGTCATCTTTGTAGCACAGTGCTGGACAATCTGGTAGACAAATAATGTGGTTAAAACAATACACAAAAGGATTCATGAATGAAAGGAGAGCATCACAGTATGTACAATAATGATGATTATTGACTAAAGGATGAATAATGTTGATACTGTATTTCCAGTTTGATATGATCAAAAATTTTAACTTTATTTATGTAGCATCTCCCAACAGACATATGAAGGAACCAAGTTCAAAATATAGTAGAAAACTGCACAAGCAGGATTTAGATCCAGGACATCAGGCTTCAGAATTCAGGGTCTTAATTATAATGGGCTCAATCATTACTCTCTGAAGATGAAGATACTAACTTACAGGTAAGTTAATCATCACTTCCCACGTGGTCATTAATGATCCCCAAACACATAAAACCTTACCAGGTTCTATTGGAAAAGGAGGACAATACTATTTTCCAGATAACAGAGTGAAGGCTCATTCCCTAAGTGGTTTTTTGTTCATCTAGAATATACACCCTGATACCATTAACACGTCAATTATATCAAAAGCTGTTACTTTTTCTGATCTCATTCGTGGAACTAGAAGAGGCCATAGAGGATGAGAGATGGCTGCTTACAGGGAGAAGGAATTAAGGTTGGTTGAGTATGGGTACCATTAATCTCATTAATGAGGAAACTGATGAAGAAATATGTGAGAACCATGAACTAAAAACAGAGGCTAAAAATAGGTGAGAGAATTTGCAAGCCAAGGAGCAAACTGTATTGAGCCAAAAACAAAAACCAAAAACAAGATAAAAACACAGTAAGATGCAAAGCAGAAAGAATGGGGAGGTAGATGGGACCAGATTAATGAGTGAAGTGCAGAACCAGTGAGGTGGGAGATGGCTCAGGAAACCAGGGCTACAAACACTGGTGATGACTGACTGTTACCTTTTTTTTGCGGTACTGGGGATTGGACTCATGACCTTGTGCTTGCCAGGCAGGCACTTACACCACTGAGCTAAATCCCCAGCCCTACCTTTTCTTTTTAAAATTAATTTTATTGGCACACTTTGACACATAAAAAGATCACACTCACCATACGGAATTTGAACTTGTACATAATATATATTGGTTCTTCTTTTTTCCCCATTCCCGTCCCTTCCTTTCAACCCTTCTCCCCCTTCTTATTTACAGAAGGTTTGCTTTCCGTTTTTTTCCCATTTTCTTTTTTTCCCTTCCCTTCTTGTTCTCCTTCCTATTTGAACATTTTTTTCTACTTCCCAAAGTGTATCATCCATTCTGGTCTTTATTTTACCCTTTTGGTTTCTTACACAAGAGAAACAATGTGATATTTAAATATATGTGATTGATTTATTTAACTTAAAATTATATTTCAAAGTACATCCATTTATGTAAAAATGTCTCACTTTGAAACTTCTTTATGGGAGTGTAGTACTTACATAGTATATAAAAACTACATTTTCTTTATCCATACATCCATTGATGGGTATCTGGGCTGTTTTTTTCTCCAGGAAAAAGTGTCTAGAGTCTGGAAAACAATAGTTTGGAGAGGAACCTGAGTGAGTGGAGGGTATATGGGAATCATCAGGGAGCTGACAGAGGAAACGAAAATTAGATTAAGTGATACAGAAGACACAGCGCACTGCCACAGAGGGGACCACATGGCTTTGTGGACAGTGGCTGGGTAGCCCCCAGCTGCGAGGCAAAGTGAAAATAACAACTTTTCTGCTCCTGAAGAAATGATGAGCTGCACCAGGACCAGCAGAATCACACACAGCTGGAGACAGCAGTGAGCACGGGACACACTGCTTTCCAAGGGGCCTGGAGAGTCAACAGGTGAGTGAGTGTGGTACTAGTGCCGGAGGACACAGTCATGCAGAGCAGGAGCTGGTGGGGACCCACTGTGGGGAAAGACTGGGTGTTTGACCCTGAGTCCCGGGACTGCTTCCCCTTGGCTGCTTCACACGGCCAGTCATGGGAGGGCCGCGGGGGAGTCCCGCTGAGAGGCGGGAGCTGGGGTCACAGACTTGGCTCCTGCAGTCAGAGTCCGGCCACAGGATTAGAAGCTCACTCTGGTGCCTGGTTCCCACTGAAAGTAGATCTCTACACCCAGCACTGGTCTGGGCTCAGACTGTCACTCCTGCATGAACAAAGACATGCCCTGCCCCATCTCTGATCCTTAAAATGAAAGAGCCACGAGGCCGAGGCCAAAACAATAAAAATGTTTCTCTTACTGTTCCTGTTCTTTATTTGATTGTATTATATTTTTCATTTTACTTTGCTTTATTTATTTATATTTTTACGCCTTGCTGTTTTCCACTTTCTGTACACCCGCCCCCACTTTTATCCCATTACACTTTTTTCTTTCATGAGCCGTGTATGTGTGCTCTGCCCACTCCCCATCCCTCACTCCCGTATAATTTATAGAGGGTAGGGGAATTCTCTTCTGTTCATTTATAACTCCTCCTACTTCTCCCCCTATCTCTTTGCCTGACCTCTTTCTCCTTTTTCTTTTTTTTTCTGGTACTCAGGGATTGAACTCATGACTTGCCAGGCAGGCACTCACATCACTGAGCTAAATCTCTGGCACCTCTTTCTCATGTTTTAGTCTCAATTTTACTTTTCTCTCCTCTCCACCTTTTGGGTTGTCTCTGTTAAAGTTTTTGTCTAATATGTGTATCAATCATAGAATCTTTTCCCATCCCCATTTCCCACTACCAATTTTTTTCCTGAAAGAATATACCAAACATATTCACATTTATCTTTTTTTTTAAGTAAATGACAAAGACCAGTTTTTATAAACCTAAGCTTAACATTATGCATTTAAACAATTGTCAAAACCTTACTAAGTTGCCAACATCTATGCACAACCAGAAAACATCTTTAAATTTGTATTGAACCAGAAACATATTACCATTAATGCATTAATCTTGCATTACTAAATACTGAAAAAAAGGGAAATTATTTCTGTAGACAACTTGTTCCGGCAATGTTAGCTTTACAGCAGGCCGACACTACTTAGCTCACATTTCAAATACAATGGAAAGCAAATCCATGCAGGTATTAGAGTATAGTCTTGTCCTAGTGCTACTCAAGAGTCAGGGCTTACCTAGGATCATGTTTAATAAAAAAGCAAAGTGCATA